TTTGTTCTGAAAGTAAGAAGTAAGACTATATTTCAAACTACTCCAGTTCCTTCTTGTAGTTCAGGTAATTTGGAATCACAGAGCCAGAAGTTGATGGCTAAAGTCTTTATATGACTTTCTCAGCTTTTGGACATGTAAAAATCTCAGTTGGTTATTTCTTGATGTCAGCCCAGGAAGAGATATATTTTCTTTGTAAAGAATTCCTATTCCTTCTGTTTTAAATACAAACACAATCTACTTTCCTTCTATGATTGCAGCCATCGTTTGAATCTTTGAACTCTCAGAATCAGTTTCTTTCATTACTAAGCCCAGAATCTCCTTGAGATGGTGTTGAGCTACTGAAGTCACAGGAATTCTAGTTTGGTTTCATCTTTAGTTCTTCTTTCATCCCAAAGTCACTTCAAAATAGCAAACACACACACACACACACACACACAAGCAACACAATTTGGAGAAGTTGATCTGGCAGCCAGCATACCAGTGTCTGGCACGAAGACTTTTAAGCGACAACTTTACTAGAGTTTGTAGCACATTTTGAATTCAGTCACTGTTCAAGTTTCTGGCCTTGCAGTTTGAGATGTGGCTGAGAAATCTATTAAAGAAAGCAGCCAATATACTCTTATCACTTAATATTTACAAAGCTTATTAAAAAAAATAAAAAAGGTTATCTTTTCCTTATTGTTTATTTTATTTCAAGGATAAATATTATGTGGACTATACTCATTAATACTGTATGCTACATTCTCTTGGTACAATATAAGTCATTACAAACCACCAAGGTTAAAATATTGAAGTGCTCGTGGTTATCAAAGCCTAAGATCTTAGCCATGTGTCCTAGGCCACTGAAAGCTTCTGTGTTACTATTGTGCTGGCCCCTATAGTCTTTCTGAAGCTTACCTAAAATGTATTGAGAGAATACAAGATCATGTGTTAGAACATAAACTATACCTAAAGTTGTTACACTCTGTCACAGAATGGAGGATAAAGTTGCTGGGAAATTGCTTTAGTAACTAGAATTTTCTCATTGCTATCAAGTATTCACTTTTGGGCCTGGTAATAAGTAGTTAGGGATTCCTACTCAATCATCTGTTTCCTTTGGGAGTCAAGTCCTGACCTTTAACCATATTTGCTTGGAGGGGGCCTCTGTTACTATGACAACTTTGTTGTATAATATTGGTAGTCAGTTAATATCTTTGGTTTCCTCTAGAGCTTTGCTGCTTTCAGATGCCTTAGTTTTCTGTGGAAGTTTCTTAGGAAACTTTGCAGATAAGAATGGGAGGGATTTAGAGGTGTTGATGGGGTGGCCAATTGTACAATATTTCAAGCTCCTCATACCCACTTAATATATATTCATTTTACATTTAAGATTTCATTTGAATAGAAAGGTTATGCTGCTATAAGACATTTGAATGTTATCACTCTCTAGAGACACAATTCCTTCCTTTTCCTACCTCATAGATGTCTTGTAGGAAACAAATGAAATTCAGCATACAAAAATGCTAAAGGAAGTCTAAAACATTATATGAATGTAAGTTAAGATTAGAGACCTTGCCTTTACTGCTTACAGATGTATCATTCAATTATTTATTTAAGCATTAATTCAACAATTATTTATTGAGCATCAATTATGTGCCAGATATTTGTGGGGCTGGAATAAGACAACAAATCAAGCTCTACATACCAAATGCATAAATGTAAAAGTTAAAAATAAATAAAAATAAGCTGTTAATTATGTTTTATACTTTTATCATGACACACATACCTTCATAAACACTAAAATGTTGGGTGTTCATTCTGAATTCTTGAACTCCTTGGTGATCCATACTGGGTTACAGTGGCCTAAAAGGACCTGACCTCTGGCCCCCAGCTGCCTGTATGCACTGCTTTTCTTCCTGCCCCTGGATCCTTCCTGAACTGTGGTGGCTTCATGCACATGTTGGTGGACAATCCAGCTGGGACATTCAAGCTGCATCTACATTCCCTAAAAATAGTCCCTGTGGCCCCCAGAACATCTAGGCATGCAGGCACTTATGGTACAGTTTGCTGTCAAGGGAATGGAGTGAAAGAAGAGGTCCCCAAAGGCTGTTCAGGCAGGGAATTCTGAGGTCCATGTACTGGAATGTAGTCTAGAATAAGACTTCTATGTGTGGCTAAAAGTCACAACTGGAGAAGACAAGATTCTTTATGGGGAAGGCTCCAGGGAAAGAACTCCTTTTGCCTGATCTAAGACTTTACTGTCAGTGAGAAAAACATCTTTACAGTGTTGGGGTTTATTGTCTAGTGGAGGGAGAGGACACAAACAATAAGCTAAATAGACAAGTAACTTGTATAGAATGTTCAAAGGTGATAAGTGTATGAGGGAAAAAGGAGAGCAGAACAGGAAGGATCTGTTGTATATCTGGGGACAAGGTGGGGCACGTTATTATATAGGACAAACCTAAAAGAGATGGAGACATTTGAGTAAGTCTTGAAAAAGGTGAGGGATTTAGCCAAGTGGATATATATGGGATGAAAATCACATTTTAGGCAGAAGTTGCTTTTGATCAAAGACACCAAGCATGGCTGGCATGTTCAGGAGACAGGAAGAAGGCCAGTATGCCTTGAGTGTTATGAGCACAGGGGGATTTAGTTGGAGTTAAAGTCAGATTATATGGGGCCTGTTAGGTCGTTTTAGAGGCTTGGGCTTTTACTTTGAGATTAGAAGCCTTTACAGTGTTTTGAACTGAAGAATGATATGTCAGACTTAGATTTAAAAAGGATCACTTCAGTTGGTGTGTTGAGAATCTACTATAAGCAGTCAGGGTAAGCACAAAACCAAGAACTGTAAACTGGCAACTGTAATCCAGGAAAAAAAAAAAAAAAAAGTATCTTGGACCAGAGAGATAGAGTGGAGATAGTGATTAAGTGGTTAGATTCAGGATATATTTTGAGGGTAGAATTTCTGGATAAATGGGATTGAGAGAGGAAAAGAGAGAGGGAGGGAGAGAAGGAGGAGAGAGAGAAAAATAAAAATAAAAAAATGACTTCAAGCTTTTTTGTTCTGAACAGTTTAACAGCTGATTTTTTGCTATTCACTGAGGCAGGGAAGCTATGGATAAAACAGTTTTTCTTTGAAAAGATCAAGAGTTCAGTTTTGGACATATTGAATTTGAGATCCCAGTGGGGACACTGAGTAGGCAATTTGCTACTCAACTGGAATTTGGGAGAGATTCTGAGATGGAGCTATAAATTTTAGAATAATCAACATATAGATAAGATTTAAATGAATGACAATAGATGAGATTATAAGCAAGCAACGCTTGATGCAGAAAAAGACCAAGGAGTGAGCCCTTCCACATGTCAACACTAGGGGTTGTGGAGAAGATGTTCTCCAAAAGAAGAGTAGGAAGTAGGGATCTATGTTACAGAAGGAAAGAACAAGAGGGTGAAGTATCCTGGAAGCCAAGTGAAGAAAGTATGACAAGGAAGATAGAGTTACTGTGTCAAAAACACAGAACTGCCCCATGGGGTAAGTGTGTAAATCTTTACAGGAGCAAACTGTCTCATCTTTCTACCACAGAGTGGTAGAAATTGGTGGGTCCAAACCAACAACCTTTTGGCTAAAAGCTTATTATTTTAAACCACTATGCCATCAGAGTTCCTTAAAACACAGATAAGGGCTGAAAACAAAAACACAGATTAAAAAAAATCAAAAACACAGACAAGGAATGAAAATTGACCTTTGAATTTAGCTATGTGCAAGTCATTGGTGATCTTGGCAAAAAGAGTTTTGTTCAAGTGGTGGGGGCAAAAGTCTACTTGGAATGGGTTTGAGAATAAATGTCAGGAGAAAAACTGGAGTCAGAATATAGAGATTGTTGTGAAGAGTTTTGCTAGAAAGAGAGTTACATCAAATGTTTTTCAAATGAAATCACACCAGACCATACCAGGCATTCAAATATTTTTCAACAAATGAGCATATAGACTTTTACATGTTTATACGGTCATCTTGTAGGAGCTCTGGTGGCATAGTGTCTAAGGCATTTGATTACTAACCAGTAGGCTGTTGGTTGAAACCCACCAGCCACTCGTCAGAAGGAAAATTGGGCAATCTACTTCTGTAGACAAGTAGACCCAAGGAGGGGTTGCTATGAGTTGGGTCCAACTCGACAGCAGTGGGTTTTTTTTTTTTTTTGGTTTTTCCCTGGTCATCTTGATGAAATAGCATAGAAAAGTGTATTTTTTTTTAAAAAAATTCACAATAAAATATTGAATTGAAGCAAGGTTGAAAACAATTTTTAAGTAATTTGAATGGCAGGACTTTATTTTTTAAACTTCCATTTGAATCTCTTGAAGAATATGGCATAATAGGTTGTATCCACTTTGCAAGTGGATAACTGTAGGGTTATTTGACTCAGGTCATGATGAGTATGAAGATGTGGTCAGGAGTAATAAGGAAAATACTTGCTGTGCAAAAACCAAGATTTTTCTTGGAGGGCAGAAATTAGGAGTTTGCAATAATGGATTTAGGTGATAATTTATAGTTTACCAATTCCTTTAAAAAAGTAGAATTATAAGTGGATATATAGATTTATATACATATTTTAAATTTAAAAAATATGTTGCAGTAATGCTTACGTCTTGAATTAACTGATGAGCTTTATTTATTTGTCTTTCTTGGGAAATACATTAAAAATATTGCTTTTAACTATAAATACATAATTGAAACAAAATGTGAACATATATTTGATTTAAAAAATGTATAAAATTAAATTTTTTTCTATCTTACATATTGAATATCACAATTAATTGGTACTCCATTTAAGGAGAAAATATTCTAAGTAAACACTGAAAATGCAGGTAAAGTATAGATAATTACAAAAGATTCATTCTGATTTCTTTTTCTTGTGTCCTTAGTACCCTATGCTATCTTAGCAAAGATATCTTGTTCATGTGATAGAGAGGCTTAGATGTGGAAAAAAAAGGTAGTTAATAAATAATGCATATGTTCATAGCAATGGTCAAATTATACTATTTCCTAGTGGATACCATTTTTCTTCTTTGAGCGGTACACTACCAAGTTGGATGTTAATTGCTCCTACAAATGTGGTTTTACTCTTCACAACAAGCATTAAGACATGTCCTTGTAACTCTGTGACTTCATTGTATACCACCTAAAAAAGGAGAGAAGAATGAAACATGAACCTTATATGCATAAATGCACCTTTATTTTGAATACTGCTTTTAATGAAAACAATATTTAGCTGTTAATATATTGTATCCTGGAATGGATAGGTCACTGTTGTTAGAATCTTTCAATTCTGAGTCTAATTCTGAAAAGCTAAAGTTTCTGCTAACATAATGGAAGTTAGTGACAAAATATTTCTCCAAAAAGCTAAGAATTTACTCAAATTCTAATAGGAATTCCTCACCCCAAATTTAATAATATTGCAAATTACTCTTTATAAGGAATTTAAAATACCCTTCCCTTTTTTATTGCCATTGAATTTATTTTGCAATATTGGAAATTGAACATCATCTTTCTGTGTTTAAGGCTATTGAGGAAAGACAAACCAGTTTCTATGATTTCCTTGTGTTATTTAAATGCATGCAACAATATTTCTGTCCAGCATGGAAACAATTAGTCCAAGGGACTGGAAGACCATGCGATCTTCAGCCTATATGACCATGAGATGAAAAGAACAAGATGGTGCCCAGCTACCATTGTCAACCACTCAGAGGGGGATCGGTGCAGGACATCCTGGATAGAGTGGGAGAACAGTGTGGAACAAAACTCAAAATCATGAAAAAAGACCAAGTTTCCTGGTCTAATAGAGTCTGTTAAGACCCCTGAGACTATGGTCCCTAGCCACCCTTCAGGTATGGAACTGAACTCACTCATGTGGCTTCCAGCCAAACAACAAACAGGCATATGGGATGAACATTTACTTTAGGTAGACACACTCCTTGGAGAGATCAATCATGGGAGAATAGAAAGGCAGTGTTTGCATAGGGAGACAGCTTGTGGGGCAGAAGTGCATGAGAGGGAAAGACACAGGAAAGCGATAACTACAAGGGGAAGTGGGAAGAGAGCTGTTACATTGTGGGGAATTTCAGTGAATGTCATGAGACAAAACATGTATGAACTGCTGTATGGAAAATGAATTTGCTTTGTAAACTTTCACCAAAATCACAATAAAAATTAAAAGCAAAACAAAACAGAACAATATTTCTGTCTACATATGAAGAAGTTACTCTATGGTTGCTTTTATTTATTTATAATTGCTTAATTTTTACTTATGAAAATACATACTCATTATATAAAATATGGATGAAACAAAAAATAACAAAAAAGAGAAAAAAAATCTATATTTCCACCACTGGGAGATAATTACAGTTGACATTTTGATGCTCTTTTTGTTTTCTCTATATAATTACCTTTTAAGAATCTGAGCTGTAATTATGCTGTATATACAATTTTGTCTTGCTCTTTTTCACTTACAAGTCATGTAACTGTTTTCAAAAATAGCTCCAGTACTGTTCAATTTTGCTTTATAATATCCAGGAAGTAAGTCACAGGCCTTATCACCAGGTGCCTACAGTGGTATAGAAACTTCAAATATGCAGTACTATAAAGAAATTAGTTCTCATCATGAAAGAAGAGGAGAGCTGTTGTGTGCAAATCCAACACAGTTGCCAGGGAACCTTTTCAAAACACATTTAGAAAAGGAGTTTCACACACTTCTATAAACTTGCTTGATTTTTGCAGTCAAACTAGAAGATAGAAACTTTACATGCAAAAAAGAAGTCGTGGAAACAACTTGAATCAGAAATCCCCTGAGTCAGTTGGGTGGTCTCACCAGTATCCGTTCTTGTACATTGTACTGGATGTGGTTTTGGTCCTTTGTATACCATAGGCCTACTACTTAGGTACCCATTAAAATATCTGTGAAATTCAGTTCAAGATCAGTCTGTGTAACTGCTTTGAACAATGATTTAAAATCACATAAACAGTAATTCAATCAAGGGAAACTAGAAGTAATTCCAGCATATGATTCCAGGCTGCCTCTTCTAGAGTCTCACTCACATTTCAGACAGGAGATTATCCTTTATGTTTGTAGTACTGGTTATTACATTATTCTTTCTCATCTATTGAGTTCTCCTGGGATAATAAGGAATTTTAGGGCTGCCTTAAAAAACTCAAAATCCTATCGCTGTAATTCATATTCTTTCACCACAGCTTGATGCCAATGCTGCCTAGAAATTTTTCCTTTTCTCTGTAGTGGCTATTTTGAACTGTCTGAACTATCTTCCATTTTCCTTCCTACAATACTTACTGCAGATAAACTTATAAATTTTATAGAAAAAATAGGTAAAAGGGCCCCCAAAGTGTTGCTGTATATGACGCAGAAAATGTGATAACTCTGAATATAAGGTGTTTTAAAAAGTCTGACTACTGAACTCTATGAACCATCTAAATTTAAGCCCTAAAGATTTAAAATTTTAAGAAAAATATCAATAAGTTATATTTAGACTAATCTGTTGTCAGCTGAATGTTTTCTCATCTGCATAGTGATGATAATACTTACCTTTTAGCATTGTGGAGAAGAATAAGTGAGATAATGAATATAAACTTTACTATAAAGCCTGGTAGCATAGTGCCTAAGGCATTTGCATGTTACCCAGAGGGCTGGCGGTTCAAAGCCACCAGCCAATACTTGGAAGGAAGACTGGGCAATCTGCTTCCGTAGAGATACTTACTGCCTTGGAAACCCAAGGAAGGGTCACTATGAGTCAGATTTGACTCAACTGCAGTAAGTTTGGTTTTTGGGTACAAAGCCTGGTATATATTAAACACTAATAAATTATAGATTGAAAAAAATCCATCAAATACACAAAATGGAACAGTTGTTTTCTTGGTATTTTGCATCAGTTAGAGAAAACACTTCCAGACAGAATAGAGTCTCCCAGGTATTTAGCAAGCTGAGTGTCTCAGGAAATGACTTTAGAAATTAATCTCCTTCATGTTAAAACACAAACACTTGAATTTCCAAAGATTATATTACTGCATGGATTTTTTTTTTTTGTTGTTCATTATGCAAAAGTTTTTTCTCTAAAAGTAACTGAAGTTTCCTGAACATGTAACCATTACACATCATCGTTGTTATTGTTGTTGTTTGCCATCGAGTTGGACCCAACTGATAGCGACCCCTCCTTGGGTTTCCATAGCAGTATCACTACAGAAGTAGATTGCCCCATCTTCCTTCTGAAGAGTTGCTGGTGGATTTGAACCGCCAGCCTTCTGGTTAGCAGTCAAGTGCCTTAGGCACTACGCCACCAGTGCTCCTATTACACATCATAGATGTTACATATATATTTTAATTGCTTTATTTCATCCATGATATTGCTTAAAAAAGAGTGCTATTTTCTTACTACGTAATGAATAACTAAATACATAATGCAAGAAAAGTACATGGGTTATTATATTCTTTAAGACTTTTTAAAAAATTTAATATGTATTCTTCCAATGGATTATATCAGTTCCCTCCAAAATATGTTGTAAATCCTAGTCTCTATGCCTGTTTTATAATCCCATTTAGGAATGGGTTATTTTGTTGTGTTAATGAGACAGGAATAAGGTAGGGTATGTTTTAATTTAACCTCTTTAGAGATGTAAAAAAAAAATATTAAGCTAGCAAGCAAGCAAAAAAAGCTTGGGAAGAAATGGGGGAAGAGAGATTGGCCAGGAGCCAAATCTTAGAAGAGACAAAGAAAGTCTTCCCGTAAAGCCAGCACCCTGAATTTGGACTTCTAATTATGAAAAAATGGTGAAAATATAAATTTGTATTTCTATTGTATTATAGCAGCACTTGTTGTTGTTGTTGTTGTTATTTGCCGTCGAGTCAGCCCCAACTCATAGCGACCCCTCCTTGGGTTTCCGAGGCAATATCACTACGGAAGTAGGATTGCCCAACCTTCCTTCTGAGGAGTGGCTGGTGGGTTTGAACCGCCATCCTTCTGGTGAGCAGTCAAGTGCCTTGGGCACTATGCTACCAGAGCTCCCATAGCAGCACTAGATAACTAAAACAATTTTGCTTTCACATAAACAGAATAAAAATTGGACAGCTTATTTAATTTTCCTTTACAGTAATTTTCACTCATAGGCATAAGCCATGTCTTCTACCTTTTGACAAACACTGGATTTATGAGTTTGAAATCATTTCACCAAATAAAGAAACATTATTTAAAATAATAAATATCTATTAAACTTATATACTATTCACTGACTGTATGTTTTTTGATACAAGGGTCTAATAAATAATTTTAAAGTATATTTTTATGATTGCAATGGGAAGAATAATAAGGTGGAAGCTGAAGTATATCTAATGCTGGTGGAAAGAGCTTTAAGGAGGAAGGATGATGAAAGAGAGAGTTCAAAACAAGAGAGAACAGGAGAACTCTGAATAGGTAGAGGTAGGGATATCTCACAGCATAATTTAGTACAATAAGCATGGGCTTTGAAATCAGGCAGCTTTGGGTTTGAAATTTAATTTCACATCCCTGGGCAAAATGTTTGTCCTCTGCACCTCAATATCTTAATTTTCAAATACAATTTTTATCATGTAATGAATATTAAATGAGACAATACAGATAACATCCCATACCAAAAAACAAAAACAAAAACAAACTCATTGATATTGAGTCAATTCTGACTCATAACGACCTCTTCTTGGGTTTCTGAGGCAGTATTTCTATGGAAAGATTGCCCAGTCTTCCTTCCAAGGAATGGCTGCTGGGTTTGAACCGCCAGCCTTCTGGTTAGCATTCAAATTGCCTTAGGCACTATACTACCAGAGCTCTCACAGATAACATTAACTATTGCTTACTGATTATATGATATTCTATGATTATATGATATTCTTAGCACTGTGCATGGCCTACAAGACATTTTAAGATATGTAAAGGACATTGTTGCTGTTGTTAGCTAACATTAAGTAGGCCCCTGACTCACGACAACCCTATCCACAATGGGATTAAACTGTTATGATCCATAGTGTTTTCATTGTCTGATATTTCGAAAGCAGATAGCCAGTCCTTCCTTCCTAGTTTTTTTTTTTTTTTTTTTCAGTCTGGAAACTCCACTGAAACATGTTCAGCATCACATCAAGAAACC